CATAGGCCCCATAGTTTAGTGAGCAGAGGTATGTCGCTGGCGCCATCTACAATTGGTCTCCAAAGTCCAAATCATGAAAATCAATGTATTCCCAACTCTCTCGAGCAGAAATTCAGTGAGTAACTAACATTTCTATTCAGTGCAAAAATTCGGGCTTTTTCAAAGGCCGTTTTTACAAAAAATATTCGTTTTGCGAAAAAAATGGTAGGAACCATTTTTGTAGATAATAATACGATCTTCATTTTTTATCTAAACAAAAATTGTCTAATTTGTATAATTTGGCAGATATTAGCGGGAAATTATTTTTTCAGACTTTAGAGGCCATTTTGAGCCCTTTCCGACCCAGCAGTGTTGGTAAAAGTTTTCGCCCTTGAAAGTAACCGTCAAGACCTAAGAATTGAGCCACAAAGGAAATCTGGACCGACTTAATGACAGCTTTGTATATTTTCAGGTCTTCAGTTTATTTATTTATTTATTTATTTATTTATTTATTTATTTATTTATTTATTTATTTATTTATTTATTTATTTATTTATTTATTTATTTATTTATTTATTTATTTATTTATTTATTTATTTATTTATTTATTTATTTATTTATTTATTTATTTATTTATTTATTTATTTATTTATTTATTTATTTATTTATTTATTTATTTATTTATTTATTTATTTATTTATTTATTTATTTATTTATTTATTTATTTATTTATTTATTTATTTATTTATTTATTTATTTATTTATTTATTTATTTATTTATTTATTTATTTATTTATTTATTTATTTATTTATTTATTTATTTATTTATTTATTTATTTATTTATTTATTTATTTATTTATTTATTTATTTATTTATTTATTTATTTATTTATTTATTTATTTATTTATTTATTTATTTATTTATTTATTTATTTATTTATTTATTTATTTATTTATTTATTTATTTATTTATTTATTTATTTATTTATTTATTTATTTATTTATTTATTTATTTATTTATTTATTTATTTATTTATTTATTTATTTATTTATTTATTTATTTATTTATTTATTTATTTATTTATTTATTTATTTATTTATTTATTTATTTATTTATTTATTTATTTATTTATTTATTTATTTATTTATTTATTTATTTATTTATTTATTTATTTATTTATTTATTTATTTATTTATTTATTTATTTATTTATTTATTTATTTATTTATTTATTTATTTATTTATTTATTTATTTATTTATTTATTTATTTATTTATTTATTTATTTATTTATTTATTTATTTATTTATTTATTTATTTATTTATTTATTTATTTATTTATTTATTTATTTATTTATTTATTTATTTATTTATTTATTTATTTATTTATTTATTTATTTATTTATTTATTTATTTATTTATTTATTTATTTATTTATTTATTTATTTATTTATTTATTTATTTATTTATTTATTTATTTATTTATTTATTTATTTATTTATTTATTTATTTATTTATTTATTTATTTATTTATTTATTTATTTATTTATTTATTTATTTATTTATTTATTTATTTATTTATTTATTTATTTATTTATTTATTTATTTATTTATTTATTTATTTATTTATTTATTTATTTATTTATTTATTTATTTATTTATTTATTTATTTATTTATTTATTTATTTATTTATTTATTTATTTATTTATTTATTTATTTATTTATTTATTTATTTATTTATTTATTTATTTATTTATTTATTTATTTATTTATTTATTTATTTATTTATTTATTTATTTATTTATTTATTTATTTATTTATTTATTTATTTATTTATTTATTTATTTATTTATTTATTTATTTATTTATTTATTTATTTATTTATTTATTTATTTATTTATTTATTTATTTATTTATTTATTTATTTATTTATTTATTTATTTATTTATTTATTTATTTATTTATTTATTTATTTATTTATTTATTTATTTATTTATTTATTTATTTATTTATTTATTTATTTATTTATTTATTTATTTATTTATTTATTTATTTATTTATTTATTTATTTATTTATTTATTTATTTATTTATTTATTTATTTATTTATTTATTTATTTATTTATTTATTTATTTATTTATTTATTTATTTATTTATTTATTTATTTATTTATTTATTTATTTATTTATTTATTTATTTATTTATTTATTTATTTATTTATTTATTTATTTATTTATTTATTTATTTATTTATTTATTTATTTATTTATTTATTTATTTATTTATTTATTTATTTATTTATTTATTTATTTATTTATTTATTTATTTATTTATTTATTTATTTATTTATTTATTTATTTATTTATTTATTTATTTATTTATTTATTTATTTATTTATTTATTTATTTATTTATTTATTTATTTATTTATTTATTTATTTATTTATTTATTTATTTATTTATTTATTTATTTATTTATTTATTTATTTATTTATTTATTTATTTATTTATTTATTTATTTATTTATTTATTTATTTATTTATTTATTTATTTATTTATTTATTTATTTATTTATTTATTTATTTATTTATTTATTTATTTATTTATTTATTTATTTATTTATTTATTTATTTATTTATTTATTTATTTATTTATTTATTTATTTATTTATTTATTTATTTATTTATTTATTTATTTATTTATTTATTTATTTATTTATTTATTTATTTATTTATTTATTTATTTATTTATTTATTTATTTATTTATTTATTTATTTATTTATTTATTTATTTATTTATTTATTTATTTATTTATTTATTTATTTATTTATTTATTTATTTATTTATTTATTTATTTATTTATTTATTTATTTATTTATTTATTTATTTATTTATTTATTTATTTATTTATTTATTTATTTATTTATTTATTTATTTATTTATTTATTTATTTATTTATTTATTTATTTATTTATTTATTTATTTATTTATTTATTTATTTATTTATTTATTTATTTATTTATTTATTTATTTATTTATTTATTTATTTATTTATTTATTTATTTATTTATTTATTTATTTATTTATTTATTTATTTATTTATTTATTTATTTATTTATAATACAATACTCTTCAGGTCATAAACCCAATTACAGAGCAGGAATTGACAGAATATAATTATTAATAAATCACATTTTTTATATGAATGTTAAGCACATAAAAAGAACTTGTATTTCGTAATAGGTAACAAATTAACTAAGATAAAAAGTGGGATTTTATATCTGACAAATTGCAACTAAATATATCAAGTTCATTGACAATAGAATTTGTTACTGTACACATGGTATGGAGCGGAGAATTTTCCAGAACATTTGTGCGAGATGTATTTATATAAAAAGTATTCGGGCAGTCAATAATACTTTTAATAATTTTATAAGTTACTACTACACTATAATAATCACGCCTTCTTTCGAGACTGAAAAAGTTATGCTTTTGTAGTAATTCAGAGTGAGGTGTACCTATTAGAGGATAAATGCCATCAGTTTTCAGGCTTAGCAGTTTTAAAAATCGTCTTTGAATTGCTTCTATTCGATCTATATGATACTGATAAAAGGGGCTCCACACAACTGAATCATATTCTAACTTTGATCTTATAAAAGCATAAAATAGAGTTTTTAAGGTAGAGGTTTCTTTGAAATCACTACTGCTAAATGCAATTAATCCGTACATTCGATAGGAGGAGGATACAACATTATCAATATGCTTATTAAATGATAGTGCAGTGTCAAACGTGACGCCAAGGTCAGTAAATGTTTTCGGTAGCTCAAGGGCAACGTTTTCTATTGAATAATTAAATATTATGATATTCGTTTTTAAACTGTACGACATAACTTTACATTTATCTGGGTTTAGTGACAAGTTATTTTGATAACACCATTCAACAATCCATGTTAAGTTTGCTGAAAGGTTCTCGCAATCACATATCTTCTCTACGAGGCAGTATAGTTTTAGATCATCAGCATACAAAAGGAAATTTACATTTATAACATCTGCAATATCATTAATGAACATAATAAAAAGGAGGGGTCCTAGATTCGATCCTTGTGGAACACCAGAAGAAGCACTATATTCCGCAGACCTATAACCATTAAGCTGGACATATTGCTTTCGATCCCATAGATAGGATTGAAATAGTGAAATTAAAGGAGATAATCCAAAAGCTACAAGTTTGTTAAGCAGAATGCCATGATCAAGTCTGTCGAAGGCCTTAGAAAAGTCTGTGTAAATAACATCAGTTTGGGCTCTGTTGTCAATAGATTAAGCAATATATTGGGTAACGGTCGGGAGGTTGGTGACTGTTGAACGACTTCATGAAACCATGTTGATTTATACTTATATTACAACTTACATGACGACATATAACTCGCTTTAATAGGATTTCAAAAACCTTTGTAAAGTTGCATATAATAGAGATAGGTCGATAATTTGAAATATCTTGTCTATCTCCTTTCTTGAAAATGGGACAGACCTTTGAGGATTTTCAGATCTCTGGTATTGTAGCCGATTTTAAACAAATATTAATTAGTATGGAGAACAATCTTTTAGGACAAAAGCTGGAATATCGTCTGATCCGGTGGTCTTTTTTGGCTTAAGTGATCTTAGTACCTCATATACTTCCTTTTCACTGAAGCTTGTAATATTTAAAAAGTGATTATTATTTGTCCCAGAATTGGGTTGAAAAGGGGGAAGAAATAGTATAGGACTGTTTAAAGTTACTGGACTATAGCCAATTTAATGACATTTAAGTTTATAAGGGACTTGACAGCTCTACTACAAATGATAGACATTTCCATTTAAAATTTTCATAGCCTCCCTGAATTAAAAAAGATTTTAAATATGGCAACATGTTTCGAATTTTGTACGTCAGTTGACAAACATTCTAAATTGGAGTAATTATGTTAAATGAAAATTAAATAAATTTAATTTGAAACGAACTTTTATTTATTTTAGTTTTCTTTTTCAGGAACCAAATAGCATCATTAGAAGGCGACTGGTCGCACATGGAGAACACCGTAGCCACGCTATTTTTAGGAGAAAACGACATTATCGAAATTCCATCCGATTTTTCCGACCATACATCGAAAAATTCACGCGGCCTTCACCGCTTCAAATCTCTAATTTGGCTTAATCTAGACGGAAACAGAATACACAAAATCCACAAACGTTCGTTGCCCACCGCCTTACAGACTATCAGCGTGTCACATAATTTAATAGAAACTTTTCCCATTGACTTAGTGGCGACGCTACCTCAATTGCAGTGGCTATACCTGAGAGGGAATCACATAAAGATGTTACCCGAACACACGTTTCCGAAGAGACTTTGGATGGAGAAAATTGATCTCGGCGAAAACTTTCTAAAATCTCTACCGAAAACTCCTTTTAATAACACCATATGTATAAGAGATATAAACTTATCGTCAAACGATTTTAGAACTATAACTTCTGAAAGTTTTGATGGCTTGGAAACGAGGAGGATCATACTTTCTTACAACCTTATAGAAAATTTGGACGTACGGGCCTTTAGTGGCTTGGAAGATACTTTAGAATATTTAGATTTTGATCACAATAGTTTGCAGCACATACCCCAAGCCGTTAGCGATTTAAAATCCTTAAAATATTTATACCTTTCGTCAAATTCGCTAATAAAAATATCGGAAAACGCTTTTGACAACTTCTGCCACAGTTTAAAGGCTTTAAGTTTGAGTGGGAATCGTTTAACTAAAGTTCCCTGGAACACTCTAAGTAATTGCTCAAAAATATCCCATTTCAATATTGCGTCTAATGAAATTAATGAAATAAACGAAGAAGACTTTAGCTGGGGAAGTAACATAAGATCTTTAAATATGGGTAATAACCATGTGACTCATATACAGACTGACGTTTTCTCGAAATTGGAAAACCTAAAAGAACTAAGTTTAAGTTTTAATCCCCTACGTTATATGGATAAAGACACCTTTTCTGGATTGGATAAATTAGAAAATTTGGAACTTTCTTTTTGTTTAAATCCAGATATAGACATCGATGATATATTTATGTCATTAAAGAATTTGCAGTGGTTATCACTGGATAATAACAATTTACATGCAGTTCCAGAAAATTTAATAACTCCTTTAGTGCAATTAAGATATTTAAATTTGGAATCGAATAAGTTACACAATTTACCAAAACACTTCTTCCAATCCAATGACGAACTAAAAGAAATACGCCTATCAAACAACGAATTAAGAATAATTGAAACAGGAGCTTTCCATCATTTACCAAATCTCCAAACAGTTACCATGCACGGAAATAAAATCAAGCACATACAAAGAGAAAGTTTCACACATCTACCACTTTTAAACAAAATCATACTGTCCGATAATTTCATAACTCACATCAGTCACGATGCATTCTCAAATTTACCATCTCTAGCTCATATAAATTTGCAAGGCAATTTCATAAAAGACGTCTCGTTTAAATTTTTTACCAACATTACAAGTCCTATTTCACTGAACTTGACTAAGAATCGCATTTCATTTTGTACTTCAGACTCGAGAATTTTAAATGTGGAAACGCTAGATTTGAGTTTTAATAATTTAGATACTATTCCAAAATGCCTGGAACACACAGCTTTGCTGAAAAAGCTCTTATTGGATTCGAATCTCATAAGTACTTTAGATCACAATGCTTTTATGCATCTAACGTCGCTCGAGCAACTCAGTTTGAGAAATAATAAAGTAGTAATGATAAGTAAGAAAGCATTTTTCGGTTTGCAGAACTTACAAATTCTAGATTTGTCGAATAATTCAATAAGCCAGTTGCACACGAATCAATTTGTTAATATGCCAAAGTTGCGAATCTTGAATTTAAACGAGAATCGTTTAAGTTACTTACCTCGGGATATTTTTAGCAATACTCTATTGGAGATGTTAGATTTAGGAGTAAATTTCATTTCTGTTGTTCCTACTTCCAGCATTTTTGATGTGGGAATGACCCTAAGGCATTTATCTATGCGTTCGAATAATATAGAGCATATAGATATAACAACATTCCCTGATATACAGTCATTGCAGTATCTCGATTTGAGCAATAATAAATTGACGATTCTCCCAGATAATGTTTTCACTAGCTTAGGACTGCTGCAGTATCTGGATTTAAGCTATAATCCCCTGAGGTCGAATTTCAAAGAGTTATTTCATTATGCACAGAGTTTGAAATATTTAGATCTCTCCAACTCATGGATAATGGATACGCCGTATTTTCCTTTACCAAACTTGGTTCATTTGAATTTATCTCACAATCTCATTGAAACCATTAACAAAAATTCGATTCAACAATTGATTAAACTGAAATCCATCGACTTAAGTTTTAATGCCATCGAAGAGGTACCAGCACATTTATGGAATCATTTACCTAATTTAAAAATTTTGAATTTATCAAACAATCCGATAAAGGAATTGGTGGCTGACAGTTTTTCTGGATTAACAAATCTACAGGAACTGACGTTGTTAAACCTAAAGCAGTTAAAGAAATTCGAAAGCCAAAGCATTTCTGAGCTGAGAGTACTATCGAAACTTACAATAGAAACTTGGCCTAAATTAAATCATTTTTCCGACCAATTGTGTAACTTATTCTCCAACTTTGATCAATTAAGAGTTCTTAAAATATACTTTCACGAGAGCAGATTAGACGATCAATTATTATGTATAACGAATAGAAAAATTCGTCATTTGGAAATTTCCGGAAGGAATTTGAAAACTGTAGATAAAGACGCTTTCGCTAGATTTGTTAGAAATCCAGATCTAGTACTTAAAATCCACGATACGCAAATAGAAGATTTACCAGCAGGACTTTTTACGAATATGTTTAGGATTTCTTATTTAAGAATAGATTTAAGATACAACATGTTGACGCATTTGAGTCCTGATATGTTTTATGCAAACACTACCAGCTGGAGAAACGTGGGCACTACTTTAGTTTCGGGTGAGTAAAAAACTGTTTCTTATGTTGTTTCTTGTTTTATAATCCATGAGTCTTTTTAGTCTTTTAATAATAATAATAATAATAATAAACGACTATTGTTTTTATAATTAATTTTTGATACAGTAAAAAAAATAGAATAATTAATAAAACAAAAGGCGAAGTTCAATTGTTAGGTTGGGTGAAACCCTCCCTAAGACTTGTTCTATTTATTTATTTATTTATTCCAAGTAAGAAAATACAAATGCAAATGAGAAACGTCACAATATTAATAATCACAGTGTACGTGTAATTGAGCTCGAGTTTACGCTATGTGAGCTCTCTAGGTCAACATAAATTATTTAGAAATATAGAAAACAACAAAAATAGAATTTTAAAAAACATTATTAACATGTAGGAAGAAGAAGAATTACAAGGTATCTAAAAGAACTAAGTTCTTAAGAATTTAACTTTAAACATTTATTAATTAATTAATTAACCTTGAAGAAACCTGCTAATATTAATTTCTTTAATTGTGTCGCAAAGGAAGTTGTTTGTAGACCTCGAGTTCATTTTGGAATCTTGTTATATACAGAGTGTCTGTAAAAGGTCTTTACAAAAACATACCACATATTCCTTAGACCAAAATAAGTTGATTTAAGTAAAATTACCTTAGTACAAAGTTGCTTCGTTTGGACTCCAGAGGGCCTTGAAGTTACAATTTTTAAATCGTTTTTCCCATATAAATTTAAAACGGCATATGCGATTTTGCTGAAATTTGGTATATTGGTAGAGTTTTATGTGGGAAAAAAAATGGTATTAAAATTTTGTACGATAATAATACATAGGCGTAGAACTTGATTTTTTAAATAATTGCACCTTTAAAAATTCTACGCCAATGGAAGAAAAGGAGTTTGAGTATGAAATTTAGATTGCGCAACTCATTTAATTTAAAAAAGGTACTCTTGATAAGACTCGATTACTCTCATGGTTTTCGCTAAATTTCTGTTTTAATAATTTAGAGTGTATAGGTTTCACAAAAATATTTATTTACAACATAATCAAAATAGAGAATTTTACAAAAATTGTTCAAAATGTTCACCATTTTCACGTATACAAAGATTTATACGTCGAAGAAAATAAAATGTATCCTTTCCATAACTTCTTCATCACCTCTAAGATTGTTTATTGCATCTTGAATACGTTGCCAGAGTTGTTCCTCATTTTCTACAGATTCCCTGTAAACTGTGGATTTCAGATGTCCCCATAAAAAGTAATCCATCGGTGTTAGGTCTGGGGAACGTGGTGGCCAGTTTACAGGGGCGTGATTACCTCTGCCTATCCATTTGTATGGATATTGTTCATTCAAGTGGTTTCTAACGTTTAAAGAAAAATGCGGTGGAGCTCCATCTTGCATAAACCACATATCTCTCCGAAGTTAGAGAGGTAAATCTTCTAACATTTCTGGCAAAGTATTTTGTAGAAAATCCAATAATTTTCTCCAGTTAATCTTCGTGGACGTATGACAGGACCAACAATGAAATTACCAATTATTCCAGCCCATACATTAATTTTGAATTCGTGCTGAAAATGGTTTACCATTATTGCATGCGGATTTTCAACGGCATAAACATGTTCATTATGGGTATTAGTTATACCTCTTCTTGTAAAACCCGCTTCATCGGTAAAGAGAACCTTCTTGACAAAGTTTGGATCTCTTTATCTTTGCATATTAACAAATCGACTAAAACCCAAACGAATTTGAGGATCATGGACTAATAATTCTTGTACTAGCTTCTTATGGTATGGATATAGCAATTGTTCTCTAAGCACTTTATGAACGACATCTTTACTTACTCCTAGTTCCCTTCCAATTCGTCTGGTGCTTAATTCTGGATCTTCTTCAACACGTTCTAAAATATCTTCTTCAACTTCAGGAATCCTTACAAAACGTTCTCTTCCATTATCAACAGTGTTTGGAGCAAAGGAACCGGTTTCCCGAAGACGTCTCTCAACAGCAACAAAAGTTAGGTGGCTAGGTACACGACGATTTGGAAACCTTTCAGAGTATACCCTGACACTCTCTCGAGCATTTCCTTTACAAAATCCTAATGTCAGTAACATATCGGTATATTTTGCATTGGTATATTGTACAGCCATATTAATAAACCACGCATTTGTTTTTTTAATTATTGAGTCAGATAGAACACTTTCAATCGTTAACAAGAGATTAGGTGTTAAAACGACAATATTTTTATTTAGATGAAACTATGGAAACCAACAATAAATGTTTTTGTATACGTATTACAGGCAAATAATTAATATTCCTCAAAAAATCGTACATGGCAAGAATCGAGTACTTTTGTTAAAAGTCTCGATTAGAGGTGTTGAAGAAGATATGAAAAAAGTACATTTTTATGTTTTTCATCGTATAAAATTTTGTCCGATAATAATACATAGGCGTAGAACTTGATTTTTTAAATAATTGCACCTTTAAAAATTCTTTGTTTTTGAATTTTGTTTTTGTTATTAGCTTTATTATTTGTAGAATGTGTACAACCATAATTCGTTCTTCATTAGTCTTGTTTGCTGGTGGTACTTAATCATGTTTGTTAAAAAATTGTAACCCATTTTGTAATTAAATAATTCTTGTATTATGTTTCAAATAATATTTAAAATTTCACATTTTAAGGATTTTTTGCTTTTTAATTATTATTTAATTAGCTATCTTGTTTTAATCAAGTAAGAAACGGTATATTAGAAGCTACATAGCTGATGATATTTTCATAGACGAAACGTAGTAAAATGGTAAAGTGTAACATATCGTTGTATTTAGCTACACAAAAGCTATAAAAAATTACAGTTAAAAATCCAAGTCCGTATTTAAAAAAATAAGTTGAAGGTGGCCCTGGAAATACGAAACGTCGTAATAAAAATTTTGATATAGCAGATTCTAGGGAACTTGATTTATAACAAAAACTTCGTATAATTTTTTTTTGTATCGATTTAAAAAACGAAAATGAGGTTTTTCGGATTTTATCGAATATCTCCGGAACCAGTCAGAAAATTTGGAACTTCTATGGACCATTGTATTATCCGGTCCACCCTGTATAACATAGACAAACCATATATTAGAAGAATGGAAAAAAGATGAGTAAACAGAATCTAAAATTATATACTGGGGTTATCATTAAAAAAACATATGTTTGGTTCGTACACAAGCTATGCAACACCCTGTATACCTCCCAATAATTTTAAACTGTTAACCTCAAACATGTCCATAATTTTCTTAATACACTTTTTTAATATCTCTTTCAACAAGGAAGATATCGAACTTTTTCACAAGATTGGTCCACCCTGTATATTTGCACGTTAAACCAGGGTGTACTATTGCCTCTAAATCGGTTTTTCCTAATAGTTTGTTGTATACAGCAATTGAAAGACCTTAGAATTTCATCGCAGAGGATGCTGAGGTCATGCCGGTTGGTTGTTCTGATATGTTGGAGCAACTGACTAAATTTAGCCCTATTGAATATATTGATTGTACAATTCCTATTATACAGATTTAGTTTTCGAAAACTTCAAGATTTGATGTCTGTGATCACTAATATTTCCATCGACAATAGATAGATCAGTTGTTTTATTATTATTACTAATTGTGTAGTCTATCAGAGTTTTTGAAGTTGGGGTAACCCTTGTCGGTATATCCTCGTTAATGTTAATAAATCAATATTAAAATCACCAAAAATACAACACTTTTTTTCCATTTTCATTTAAAATTTCCAAATTATCATCTAGTTTAATAAAAAAGGTGCCGATATCATAATCTGCAGGTACATATATTCCACCATTTACATAATTAATTTTTTCTATATGGATAAAGAGCATTGAACATTTATCTTCAACTTTGGAGTTTATTTTTTTTTTTCTTCCACTTAACCTTTAAAATATCGCATATTCTCTATAATAATCCAACTACTATTTTTCATTTAAACCCTATCTCCGTAACTATGCTTATTTAGAAAAAAGTAAATTTTATAGGCAACCTTAAACCTACTGTAAGTTTTCAAGAGATCCGGTACATCATTGTACGGTAAACATATCTGATAGGTATAACAACGTCTAATTATTTCAAGTCTAAAAGGTGGAGGTACATTATGTCTAATATTAATATTATGCACATCTGTCCTGAAAGTTATTTTTTTATGCAAATAAGAGGGAGATTTATTTATTATTATTTTATGAAAAAGAACTGAGCTCGTAAGAGTCTTCTACTAGCCTTATTCAACCATTTATTTTTATTTAGTTTGTGCGAAATATGTTCTCTTCTGCGAATTCCATATATAAAACCAGAGACAACAGAGAAGTGTAACTTAATAGAAAAATTTGTTCGGTGGTCCATTTAAATTACATATGGGTGATTATCTGATAATTTACCGACCTTGACTATGGATAATTTTTCCTCTTAAACCAACAAGTTTTTTAAGAGGCAATGTTCGTTCTACTCCAGTGGCATAACCCTGTCGTTACTAAGCGACGTAGGTAAATTTGGTTTCTGCGACTGTCATTGTTGCAACTTTAGCTGGGTTCTTCTGTCGTGAAACGGAGTCTACAATCTCTGAATATTTCTTCCTGTTTCCATATATAATTGTACATATCCAGCATCATATTTTTCCATTTTGCCCTATGTTCTTTATCATTATTATTGCTTCTTCTAATTCAGCCATGCTTATTATGTCGTAATTTTTCTTGTTTTGTTATAAATTCACTATTTACTTCTTTCCCTTTACCTAAAAGAATACTTCATAATCATATTCAAAATATTGTTACATACAGGGTAATTCATGCCTCCACAATTGTCAAATTGGAGTTGATCTTATTAAAAACTAATATATTTTAAATGGCCTCGAATAACTAGAAACAAATGCCCCACTCCGAATTTTAGTATTTTTTTTTATATTTATTAATGTTAATCTTACGGGAGGGGTCATGGTCCACATGGTTCCCTCCTTGGAGTCGCCGTTAAAAACATATTTGCATATAAGTTTTAATTTTAAATTATTTATTGTAGGTTTGTCCCAAATTCGATAAAAATCGCTTCAAAAATATCAGATATATTAACGTGGCCCTGGTCTCATTGTCAACTAATATACCTCATAATAATATCAACAAATTTTTTTTACAGGGGGCCTGCTTTTGTCCAATAATCCTTTCCGATGTGGATGTCATTTAGCCTGGTTGGGACACTGGTTCCGAAGATGGATGAGGGAAAGCGTCCAATCACACACCGCCCCAGTAGAAACTGCCATGAGGATGCAGCAAATAATCAAAGAAGCTACTTGTATAGACTCGTCCTCCGGTAAAGTGGTTCCAATTGTACATTTACCTCCAGAAGACATGAGTTGTCATGCTAGTGCTCTTAGTAAATCAACGAAAACAAAAAGCACCTCGTTATTATTATTAATTATTTTTGTATTTTATTTCGGTACTCTTAGGTAGTGTTTGTAGAATTAATAATTTGGTTTATAAATTGCTATTTGGTTTTAGAAGTCATTAATTTTTGTCCTGTATACAAGATACTTTTAAATGCATACGAATAAATTCACAACGGCATTTAAAATAGTTAACGCGTTGTTTCTTCTAACTTTCTTACATCTTAGGAGTCCTGAGTACGCAGTTCTACACGGTTGCTATAAACTATAAAGTATGTAAATAAATAAATATCTTTAAAGCTGAAACAATTATATTGATGCTTTCCGTAATGATTAATACATCTAACGCGACTTTTTTTGGTGATGCTGCAACGTCATCTGGGGAAACCGGACGATTTTTTGCGGTTTTAATCGAATTACATTCACCACTTTGTTGCAAAGAATTTCATAAAAATAATTTAAAATCCTTCAGATTTTAAGACATCTACGAAATAAAGAAAAATATTCAAATTTCAACTTATCTATTTTAATATTTTTTTGTTTCTTTCCTCCTTCGTCCCTATATGTGGGTGAACAGGGACAATTATTTATTTTGCTCTAAAACTAAGAGGCAGAAAAATAACAGATGTTTTCATTGAAAGACGTATTAACGTTGCAAAGTAATTGCAAGAGCTTTCGCCCTCTATCAGTTTACATACCAAGTAAAAGAAACAGGATTTTATTTCAAAGGAAACTGTAAATTTGTCGTTTTGGCAATCTGTCTAAAATTACGGTGTCAGCATAAATTTATTCATTTTTTCTTGCCTTCGTCTATTGTTGTATGGGTTCACTTTTTCACTAGCTACCCAGTGGCAGTGTTTCGTTTTTATTTTACAAAAATCCGCCATAAGAGGCATAACACGCGCTTTTCAAACGTGCTAGTAAAAAACTGAGCCCATACAGCTAAAGAAGAAGACAGGGAAAAAAGAAGAAATCTATGTTGACGTCGAAACCTTAGACATAATGCCTGTTACTTGCTATATACTACTACTACTACTACTAATTGATGGTGCGAAGCTCTTGCAATGGCCTTTCAACTGCAATATATCTTCCATTGGTGCATAAGTACGTAGAAAAAACGTGAGGGCCATTTATTTTCGAAAAATAAAAGTACAAAACTTTATTGTCCTAGAAATAACACTGTATAAACTCTGAGAAACAGGTTTAAAATAAACAATACAAAACTTTCATAAAGCCAAAACTAAAGAGGCACTATCTTCATCAGTTTACTTAATTCTGAGATCATTAATGAGTAATATCGGAAAGTGCAATCTCTTGCGTTGCAAAACCTCAACATTAGGAAGAGTTCTAATGATTTGCGAACTGTCTCTCAAGCTTTGTTTACACTTTTATTTTCATAAAAATTACTGTTTTAAGCTTTTTTACTTTCCTATCTGTATACAGATATAAGGAAAGTATAGGAATCATGATTTTTTTCGACCTCGAGTTTTCGACGGATTTTTACGTTTTGAGGTCCCCTGAATCCGTTTTGACTATTTTCGCGATGATATCTGTGTGTGTGTGTGTGTCTGTGTGTCTGTGTGTCGCATAACTCATGAACCGATACACAGAAAAACACCAAATTTTAAACTTAAGCTTTGTTCCAGCGTCTAATGTGCTGATTAGATTTTGGTCAGTGTCGGAACATCTGGGGGGGGTACTTTCAAGGTGGTCATTTTTATATTTTATGGAATATATCTGTTATTTACGTTTGGAGAAAAAAATTCTTCAAATAAAAGTTACTTCTTATATTATTATCTAAATTTTTTGTTTTATACAAAATTTTCCTAAAATGGTCCGTATTCGAAAAATTTGACAAAATGTAAAAAATATTTTTTTATAATAATTGTTTAAATAAAAGTTGTTTGTAATATAATTCTCTATAATTTTTATTTTATACATAATTTCTCTAAAATGGACCGTATTCGAGATATTTGAGAAAATGTGTAAATTTCGAAATTTGAAGAAAACTCAAAAACGGATAAAGAAAAAAACATTAAATTTTAAACTTAAGTTTTATTTCGGCCTGACGTGAAATGATTAGATTTTGGACAAAGTCGGAACATCTGGGGAGGTACTTTATGGGGGGCCGTTTTTATATTTTATGGAATATATCTGTTATTTATGTTTGGAGAAAAAAATTGTTCAAATAAAAGTTATTTCTAATATTATTATCTATAATTTTTGCTTTATGTCAAAATTTCTTGAAATGGTCCGTATTCGAGAAATTTGACAAAATGTGCAAAATTCTGATTTTTATAAAAATTGTTGAAATAAAAGTTGTTTGCGGTATCGATCTCTATAATTTTTGTTTATACATGATTTTTCTAAAATAGACCGTAATGGAAAAATTGTAGGAAAAGTGCTAAATTTAAATTTTTCAGTATTTTCATTTTCAATGAATATCTATAGAAGAATGTCTCTAGGTAGATGTATGTGGAAAATGTATATATTTATTTTATCCTCTAAACATTTATGGAGGTGCTGCAATAGGTTGTACAAAATAACCCGAAAAAGCCTGTAATAACTAGATAGGAAAGTCATGTGTTGGACACATCAGATTTTTGATTTCGTCTATCACCTCAGTAACACACCGAACCAAATGCTTATTGTTTGAACAAGATAATCTTAATAATTACAAATGTGTGTATAAAAATCAGTCTCTATATGTTTTGATTTGTTTTCAGTCTCAGTTACAACCTTTATTCTAAGTCCGAAGCCCAAATTTTTCTTTACCATCTGACACATTATTTTTTCTTGCAGTAATTTGGTTTTGTTAGGCGAGAATAAATACTTATTTCAAGTGTGTAAATGGCCAGTTACAGAAACTTTATTTGCATGTTCGTTATTGATATTATTGCAGGGCTTAAGAAGCTCACCTAGATTTTTTATTATTGCGTGCTTGCATTTGTGTTTGATTGCGGTTGCGATGACGTTAAGTGGGCTATAATTTTATCCGCCTCTGTTATTACATGATGTAATAGGTGTTTGGTTAGTAAAGCGTATTTTCTGTGTAACTTTTTATCTGCAGTTGACGAAGATCTATCATTTCTCTTTCTACTTCTCCACCGGTGATTATGATTTTCCTTTTAATTCGTTAGTACGGGAGTTTGTTTCCCTGATGATTAATATAAGATTTCCTCAAACATTTCATAAAAATTCGAGAAAAAAAGGCTTTAAAATTATACAATTCAAGATTCTACATCTATCCCGTCTAATCTGACGGTTTCGAGATTGTTTTCTTTTCCTTGAAAAGGTTACTATTGTTGTTTTCGTGGAGTTTATACTAAGTTCCACCTCGCGGTATCATCTTCTGGTGTGTTCTAGTCCTCTTTGAACTATATCACATAGAATATTCCCAAAAATGCCTCTAGCAACTATGACTATGTTGTCGGCATAACCTTGACAAGGTAGGAATACGACAGTTAATCTGCATATAAATTCGCTTACGATTATACTCCACATTAGTGGGGATATAACTCCTCCTTGTGCAGTTAAAGATGGTGCCCTGTCCTATCTGTGTCTCTGCAGTTTTCGTATATAGCAGCTGAACCATCCAATTTGATGTAATGCCGTCTACTCCTCTGTATACGAGTATTCTTTTGACATATTGATTGTACTGGATTTATGTTCTGATATAATTATCAACAACCTTTTCCATTGTTTTTAATTCAAAGGATGTGAGGCTGATTGGTAAGAAGGATTTAAGATATTTGGTATGCTTTTTCCCTACATTTGGAATTAAAGTGACTCTGCTCTTTCTCCATGATTTTTGTATATACCCCCAGTTCCATACTTTTCTGGGATATCCGGATTATGTGTAGTATTAATTCCTCTTGTGTCCACTAAAGTAGGACAGGAAATATTCTATCAACGCCTGGAGACTTAAACTGTTCAAAAGTATTCACGGTCCAATTTAACTGAATGCTGCTGCATATGTGTTTCCTTACTACAGCAGCTTCTCTTGGGAACCTGCTTACCTTAGTTGTATCCCTTGTTAAAAAAGGTGTGCTCACAGTAAAGTTAGTTTAAAGTAAGTGGCGAGCTTTTTTCTTCTTACTCTCCGTGAAGCTTCCATTTGATTTCGTTAGAATCATAGCTGTTCACTCACCCTTTTCCAAGAGCTTAAACTATATTCTTTGCTGTATCTAACTCTTTCGAATCTGATAGGCACCTTGTTGGTAGTGCATACAGATTTCTGAGTTCGTACAATGAAAGCAGCTAAGTCTTCGAAATAAGATGGTATTAGGTTTATTTTCACTCCAAGTTATTTGAGGAATGGACCTAGTTCCTTCGAAAATCCAAGATTAAGCATTTGCTTACAATTTTTTGAAATCAGTCTTCAGTAATAACCTGCAACTGATTTCCAGAGCAGTGGTATGACACTTACTCAACTAGAGATTAAAGATCAGCAATATCTTCTTTTAAATTCACTAATCGACCAGCATATTGAGTTAATTTAATTTAATGACAAGATATAATAATCTATGCTGCGAAATAAAGACTCCTACAATTGTGGAATTATGTGCAATATATATTTCGTGATTTTCCGTGACAACTTACATTTAATTTGTGTCTTTAAAAAAAGAAAAAAATAACACTGCAGTAGGTACGTTTTATTACACCGCCAATACCATCCAGAGTTCCTTTTTCATGATCTATGACCTGCTTTAGAAAAGTTCCAAATCATGATTGAAAGTTTCAGAGTAACTTGAAAGCTAAAACAAAAAATATTTTTGTTTCGATATTGGGTCATTGGTCAATCAATGAGAAAATACACCTTTGTTGAAATATTTGTAGAAGATATCGCTGTCCCAGTTCAAAAGTGTAACATCTCCAAATCAGCCATTTTGAGATAAATTACTTTAATTTGTAAGATTTTTCTTTACTAATTTGTAATTTATTATTAAAATAAAAAGAAAAATACATTTTTTGAGATGTTACAGTTTTGAAATGGGACAGCGATATGATTATGGCGAGTATTCTCAGAAACTGCAAGACGAGTTTCCTTTTTTTTTTTCATATTTT